TAACTCTCACTAATCTCCAGTTCTTTCATTTCAGCTCTAATTTGTATTATTTTCTTTCTTCAGTGGCTCTTGGTTTCATTTGTTCTTGTTTTTCTAGGGCCTCACCGTGTCAAGCAAGGGTATTTGAGATTCACCTTGTATTTTGACACGGGTCTCTATTGCTGTAAACGCTCCTCCCAGCACTGCCTTTGCTGAATACTGTATCTTCTGCGCCACTCTGTCTTCATTGTGATGTTTGCCTGGGCATTTCAATCTCTCCTTTGATTTCCTCATTAACACAAAGTCATTCAGGTGCATATTATTTAGTTTCCGCACATTCACACGGTTTCCTGTTTCTTCAGCTGGATGATTTCTAACTGCTTGCCATTGTGGTCAGAGAAGATATTTGGAATTATTTCAGTGTTCACGGATTAGTCACAACGGTCTTGTGGCTCAACATGTGGTCTGTCCTTGAGAAGGTTCCATGTGCCCTTGAGAAGTGGCTGTACTCAGCTTTTGTGGGGGCAGCGGAGTGTCCCCTACGTATCTATTAAATCCACATGTCCTAGTTTCCTATTAGGGCTACTGTTTCCTTGTTGGTTTTCTGTCTGGTTGCTCTGTCTATTGTAGATGTGACCGTGAAGACCCTATTACTATTGTGTAGCTGTTAAAGACTTTTTAGATTTTTAGCAGCTGCCTTATATATTTTGGTGCTCCTTTATTTAATGTATATATATATATATATATATATATTGGTAAGAACTATGTCTTCTGCTGAGTTGAGATCTTTATCATTAAGTAGTGGCCATCCCTGTTTCTTGTTATCATTTTTGGCTGGAAGTCTCTCATGTCTGAGAGAAGTATGGCTGCCTTGCCTTTTTTTATTTTAAAGGTTATTTATGCATCCAGAACTGGGGTACAGGCCAGAGGTGCAGGGGCAGGGAGAGGACTCACCGGAGACAAAGTGGGGAGCAGAACAGCTGGATCTACTGAAATGCACCGCTGAGGGGAGCAGCGGGGAGATGACAGGAGAGGTCTGCTGAGTCCTGTGGGTTACTGCCTGACCAGGGATCAGATTCGTGCTGAAGCAGCTGCAGATAGCCTCGGAGTGCTGCATTTTAACCTGTTGTGCCACCAGGGAAGGCTCAGGTTCTTGCCTTTTCTCAGGTTCCAGTTTGCTTGTAGGATTGTATCCACCCTTTCCCTTTACTTTGCACTCATGTTTATCCTTGGGGACTCAGAGGGATCTCCAGGGGCAGAAGGTTGGCATCAGCTATCCCCACCCTGTGTCTTTTAACTGATGTGTATCCCTCACATGTAGGGAGACTATTTACATATAAATAGTAACCGCCATCTTTCTATTTGTTGTCTGGCTGTTTTTGCTGTATGTCCCTGCCCATTTGCTTAGACCTACTGAGGCAGGGTTTTCCCAAGGGTATTTTTGTCGATCCAATGATGGGGGGGGGGAGGTCGCCTCCGCTTGCTTCCCCTCTGGCTGGGTGCGCCACCATTATTTCTGTGGAGTAAGCTACACTGCTTTCCTTCCCTGCTGTGACTGTCTTCAGGAAGTGGCAGGTCACAGGTACTCACTGCGCGTTAGCTCTTTGTGCTGTGCTTTCTGCTGTTGTGTTGGTTGGATGTGTCTCCAGTCTGAATGGTTGGAGAACAATACTGTTGGGTGCAAAAGTCCACTCGTCACTGCATGCTGGCAATACAAGTGTGTACCTGCTGCTGCTGCAGGCTACTCCACCTCTCCACTTCCTGCAGCCCTGCAGCGGCCCCAGTGATGAACGTGCTGTGTCATCACCAGCTGGCCAACACAGACGTCCGAGCCGAACCTCCCAGAAGCCTCAACCTCGGCTCTAACTCTGCAGGTTTGGTTGGTAGCACTTTTACTCGGGGGCTCAAGAACACCTGGGGTGGTGGCGAGCTCTGGGTCCCAGCCCCAGCTAGGCACGGCAGGTAGCTCCAAACCATGTAATGTTCAAGCTGCCAGGGGCTTTCAGACCCAAAGAGCAGCCTGCCTGATGTGGTCATGGCGAACTGCAGGGACTAGTTTCCTGGACTCGTCTCATGCTCCCGGGCTTCAAGGAAGCTGAAAGGTTGCAGAGAAGAGAGGTACTGCTGGCACCTACTGCCAGTCACGGCTGCTCGAGTGCCCCTTGTTCAGTAGACTGATCTCCCAGATCACTGCACACCCTGCCTGCAGCTGGAAATCACGAAGCGATCTCAGCTGGAAAAGGCCTCTCCCAAATCCCAATTTCAGGCACAAGCAACCTGGATGCTGTGTTCAGCAGGCAGGTCTGGGGCGGGGGTCTTGGCGGGGGCAGCGCTCACACCCTCCGGGTCTGTGCTTACACAGCAGAGAGGCAGGAGCCACTGCTGGTCAACGGTTCAGTCCTGCTGACTGCAAGGAGCCCCTCGCCACCGGGCAAGACCTTCCGAGGAGGCCTGCGACCTCCATGTATAGTCGGGGTGTGCCAGGGACTGGGCGTAGCAGTCCCCACATCAGGCCCAGACAATGCAGGAGCCTTTGGTTATGCAGGCTGGGCTAAGTGGGCCGCTCACACGCTCCGGCGGTGCATCCCAGGAACTATCTGGAAACCATGCAATGAATGTGGGGTAAGCAAATGCTTCTCCCCACTAGTCACAGGGCACTGGAGTGCACGTTGTACAGCAAGCTACACTCTGGAAGAGAAGATTGCACTCTCTGGACATGGAGTCAGACACCAGAGGAAGGCCAGGAGCTCCCCAAGGGGAGGGAAGGGGGTGCTGCTGGTGTCTCAGCAGGCACCAAGCCTCCACACCCTGCCTTTCCTAACCTTTCCAGCAGTCTCTCTCCTCCTTCACTCCCCCAGGGCTACTCCATATGTGGGTGCTAATCTACTGTCCCTGAAGGAGGCAGTGACCCAAGGGCCCTGTCAGTCTGCTGCCTGGTCACTCTCCCATCACCTCCCTCCTGGCATCTGCTTTTAACACTCTGCAGACTGCACCCTGATGCTCCATCCTGAGACTTCATGGCGTAGTGAGAAGACAAGGACAGCCCTGGCAACAGGGCTGGGCAGCAAGCCGGGGCACTCTACCTTGGGACTCGTGCCCGTCACCCTGGGCCCTTCGCCTGGGGGCTGGGTCTGACAAACTGCATGCCTGTGGGAAAGCACAAGATGCCTGAAGATACCCGGCCCTGCCCTACGACCAGCGGTTTTGGCAACTGGTGGCCATGTGTAGTATTGTACCCTGGACCTAGTGGTAGCCTGTGGAAGGGGCTTTGTTTCCAGAGGTCTGAGAACCCCCAGACTGCCGGAGACCAGCTCCACTCAAAGGTACTATTTAAATTCATTTTATCTGTTGGGTACACACGGTGCTGGCAACTGAGCCCTCGTTCTCCACTGGGTCCAGGGCTCAGGGACAAGAGTCCCGCGCACCTGCGGAGAAAAGCAGGAGCTGGTGGGCCGTCTCAACAAGAGCACAGCAGCCGGCAGCGGTCTCCACTCCAGGTGTTTCTCTCCCCTAAGGAAACCTGACTCTGGCCCTGCCCCCCGCACCCCATGAGGGC